CATTAAAGCGGAAATCCATTGCTGGGGAGCGATATCATACGTCTCCAGTATGACCGTAAACGCATTAAGCGTACGGGTTAGCATGTCAAGGTCATGGTTGTTTATAAACTCGACCTGCTTACTGTTGGCATCCCAGTTCGACTTAAGTCGACCGATCTGTCCCTTGTACTTCTGGTTATCCCTGTGGTCTTGTCCACGTTGGGCCTGAAGTAGCTGAATCGATGCGCTTGTGCTTAATCGCGATCATATTAGCAAAATATGATACATCACAGGATGTTTCAGGTCAGCGTCTAACTTCAGAATATAACTCTGAATGGGCGTGTTCTCGGCTGGTTCATTTAAAATTGAACTCAGCCCAGGGCTACGCAAATCCTTACTTAACAAGGATGTGACCAACCAACACACAGCTGGCCAGTCACGACAAGTGTCTAGCTCATGCTGGTGTCGCTGCAGGATCAGATAACTGGTACCTGCATTGCTGGGGAGCGATATCATTCGTCTCCAGCATGACCGTAAACGCATTAAGCGTACAAGTTAGCGTGTCGATGTCATGGTTGTTTATAAACTCGACCTGCTTGCTGTTGGCATCCCAGTTCGACTTAAGTCGACTGATCTGTCCCTTGTACTTCTGGTTGTCCCTGTGGTCTTGTCCACGTTGGGCCTGAAGTAATTGGTCTATGCGCATTTGCTTAATTGCAATAATATTCGCATAGTATGCTACGTCATTAGCATGATGCGCAGCATGGGCGACTTCCATTTTATTGGTATAGTCGTCGACCAATTTATTAAGGTCGTTCACCTCGTCAGAGTGGAAATCCTCTGCGGATGGTGTAAAGCCGTGCGGTCGAAGCGATTAAACTCGACATCGTTCACACGTCTGCGGGGATGATTAATATCCCTTGGCGTCGGAATAACATACCTGGTCTTAACTGGTTTCCGACGATTGTCTTCCCAATTGGGTACCTCGGTCTATAATACCTTTGAGGACAGGTAACTCACGACCAGGTGTCAGAACAGGCGAATGATTAGCCTGTTCTTCTGGCAGTAATGCCTCGTACGGTATATCGACGCTGTGCACCTCTGGATCATATGATTTAGGTGTCGAGCTTGAGTCTTTGGGCGTAATTGCCTGTCGACGTTCTGTCCACTTCTGTAGGGCTTCAGTAATGCCCGGGGAAACATGCTCGCGAAAGCGCTGTGTATGATTTCCTGATCTTTCTAATTGATCTACATGCTTAACAGTCAAGTCCTTCATAATAATAGCTAACTGATTCTTAAGATCAGCGTATATAGTAATTAACTTACTTATGTGCTTCGGCTTAGAAGTCTCGGACGTAGATTCGGTTTTTCTACTTGAGCTTGCCTCCTCTTCTGGTTCCATAATAGGTTCCTTCTGAGATCTGTCCTTGTCCCCTATATTTGGGGACGCCCTCATAACTGGGGACTTTCCTTTTTGATTTTCGTCAGAAGAATGGTCTGGGGCGTCTTGAGATGTATCCCTTGTATCACTTCTTGGCTTCGTTAATGCAAGCTTTGAAGTCGAGGCAATAGTTGGCCCTCGGGCTCTGTCAGAATGAGTAGCCTCCTTAAGCGGAGTGGTTACTTACTTATCTGAAGCATTGCCCTTTTGACTATAATTGTCAGAAGCAAGTACTTTGGCTACCGTGCGCTTAAATGCATCAGCAGCGGCGTCGGTTGCTTGTGCAGCAGTAATAGCTGCGGCAGCGCTAGCGACTTCTCTCTCTATCTTCTTCTTTTCAGCTCTACGCTTCTTAGAAGGAGTATTTTCTTTCTTGGTCATAATCTTAACTTATGACTACTAGCTTGCCTCATAACGACTAGCTTAAACAAGAGAAAAAAATGTTGTGGTAGTTAACTTACCTTTACGCTTAAGTAGTCTAAGTAATTAATACTTTTGCTAACTTTAAAATGTGTAAGATTCGGTCTAATAAAGGCGATACTAATGCCTTAGAATAAATAAACGCGTAGGTAAATTCTATATATCGTGTAAATATCGATATAAATAAACGAAATGAGACGTTTAATAAAGTTATGTTTGCCTCGTGAAAACAGCAATACTCTGAAGGATTGTGAGGCTGAGACATTGCCAATATATAATCCTCTCAGTACTGTTTCCGCCGAAAGGATTTAATTTAGTGTTTCGTTGTCGCTCTATTCTGGGGCGAATCCGATAGACTCATAAAATCCTATCTTTAGAAAAAATAAATAAAAATAAAAATACTCTTGACGTCTTTAGTTATTGTCTTAACCAATAACTTGCCACTATCAAGAATTACCGACTTAGCCCTCATCAGACTGGCACATCTGGCTGGCTTATCAGAGGATCAACTAGGTAACGTTAATAGTCCCTAGAAATCTATATTCGGTTGAGCCATCTCGCTACCGAAGTATTCAGATATAAATAAAATTGGAAAGTAAATAAAGCTCTATTATTAGAACGAGACCAACTCTTTTATGTTTGGTATTTTACTGAGGCCTCTTAATGGCCTCATCCAAATATCTGATATGTTAAATGGAAAAGGTTTAATTAATAAAACCATTGAAAACCATTTTAGGAAGCTTGAGTTCCTCGTGCTATTAAGAGCACATTTAGGAGACTTAAGTTCCTCGTACTATTAAGAGTACATTTAGGAAACTTAAGTTCCTCATACTATTAAGAGTACGTTTATAATTTGCGTACTGCTTAAGAGTACGTTTATACATAGAGTTTAATGTGGAGGCCCGGCTTATTACAGTTAGGCGTGTTAATAGTTTCTACTACGCAAACGTCAAGCAAACGTACACTACTAGACTATATGTTGTTTGTTTACTGTGTAATAACTATAATAGCGATAAAATTATTGTTGTTACTGTGTGAACTATCAACTATCAAGCACCGCTTCAAAGCTTTTCGGCAACTTCTCAATTGTTAACCCGTGCTATAGAGCTTTTGACCGGGGGTTAACGATCGTTGAGCACCGATCAACCTTTGTGCCGTTATAGTACAGTTGATTCCCGGTAGGATTTGGTACGATATTGTTTAAGAGATATAACCTAGATGCACATGGTACTGTGTTGGTATTTTTTAGGAGAAAGGGCAATTTCGTTGTTGTCAGTTGCTGATTGTGATTAGTTCATAGTTAATCGCATAGCCAATAAACCCCTCTGAATACATATAAGTTGAAGTATATTATGAATATCTCATTGGGTGAATTTTTATTTTTTCCAATTTATTCCCGTCTCAATTCACTACTAGTTGGCTTCTAATGGCCATTTAAATCGTCTTCTGTGCCAGGCTCAAACCGGAAGCATGGGGTGACGTCTCGCCAGAATATCTAGAAACGACAATACTTGGGGGAGTTGGGGCTTCTTGAAGTCATTCAAAAAAGAACGAAGAACAATCTGCTTTACTAATTTTACTCGCCGTCAATGAATGCGAGATAAAATATGAAAATCCACCGCGCTGGACAAAGCTACATTATAATATCGAAAGTTCGGAACTTTACGTGTATACATTCTTGTGTGAAATAGAAAATAGAAAATTCGGCTATCAACGGTTCAGGACTTCAGGAAGTTCAGGACTTCAGGAAGTTCAGGACTTCAGGAAGTTCAGGACTTCAGGAAGTTCAGGACTTCAGGAAGTTCAGGACATCATGATCAGGGAATGGTCAGTGCCCAGTTAGTTGTGAATGGTTCCATACATTCCAGAGTTCCGTTGCCTCGCGTTCTTTTGTGAAAATACTTAAGTTCTCAAGCCTCAAGGTCTCAGGAATCAGGACAACTCAGTTTTACTGAGCCACAGACTCACAGAGTCGTATATAAATAGCTTCCCGTATTCTATTGGCTATACTGCGACTGCCATACTTACATTATTTATTGTTTACATATTTGATTTGTTTTTTAATTTTAATTTTGGGTTGTTTTAAATTTTTTAGAACAAGTAACGTACATACTAGGCGACTGACTGACTACGTTCGTATGTATTTTGTTTTTCAAAAAATACTTTCAATACGTTTTGCGTTGAAGCATAAGCCCTTCTAGACAATATTCTTAACGTTTATTATTTCATGAGAATTTCCTACTTTTGACTCGTATTTATAAACGATTTGTAACGAATCATAGCCTTCTGAAAAAATTCCATTTTCCTTTTTTGTTTTCTTAAAAACAAATTTATCGGATTGAAGTCTTATTTATATTTATATTTATTTATCCTTGTTGTGGGCACTGGGGCCTGGGGCCCTGGGCTGTGGCATTATTTTTTCTTCTTCTGAATATAATAGTCTTAGTTAGGCGTGAGCCGTGAGTTGGTCCCAAACCTTCAGCTTAGTATGGCAGGTTTGCTATCTTGAAATAAAAAAATAGTACGTGTGTAGCACATCGTTCACTACTCTAGCATTCACGTAGTTAGTTCCTGTTTAGATACACATTACACAGCGAATTTTTTATATTGGCCGGAGAGCTTGATTATATAAAAATCGTACAAGGGTTTTACCATCTTGTGTAGTCTGCTTTGCTGTTAGCCATCTAGTTTAAGAAATCTCTAAAAGAATCTCTAATAAGTAATACTTCGGTGCAACTACCTGTACTCAGTTGCAGTAAATTTCGGAAAATCTAAGAGTTGATATAGTTATCATAGGTTACCATCCACGCAGTTATTGTAAATACTGTGACATCATGGGGTTGACAATGACTGACTCTGCGCGTACTATGAATGGGCCGGGCCATCGGTTGCGCAAGTCTACATCACAGTCAAATGCAAGCGATGATAGCACGTTCACTACCAGCAATGTAAGGGACAGCACGAACAATATATGGAAGCAGAGTATATCTCCTATTGCCAGGGGAACGAAACAGTTAATGAGTTTATCGCCTGAGTTAGCTAAACATATAATAGACAAAGCCAGTCCGAACATCAAAAGTGGGCGCACAAAGCACTTGAAGAAAAAACGCGCGACCTTAGAGAGTGAGCTGTGTGGTGATGGTAATGAACACGAGCACGAGGAGGTAGCAGTGAAAAGAATGGAATCGGCAGATGGGATAAAGACTAGGATAGCTGCAGACAATAATGCACACGCTGATACTGGTTGTATCATAGCAATCACACAACGTAGTTTTACGACAGACGAAGAAGAGTCTCTCGACGCTTGCGCCTCTCCCGGTTCACCTCGTCTTCCCACGGCTTCTAGACGACCACGGACTTCAAGCATGCAAACTAAGCACTACCAGTATAAGAACACTCTCACGAACATACTTGCAGAGAAGAAGGCCAGTCACATTACTATTAACAGTGAATCCACCACACAAACACAAACACAAATACAAACGTTCCACCAGCCCTTAGAATTGTTCGAAGATACTAAGACTCTGAGTTTATCTCAATCATTAAACGATGTAGCCCCCATTTCGTTCAGCGAAACATCGGAAATGAATAAGTTTGAAGGTGGCGTATCTGATACCTTCTCGACACATAGTCACATGCGATTACATGCACAACAACAAAAAGCATCTGATATTGGTATGGATCAAGGAGGTGGTCGGCCGTTTGTCACGGAGAGTGTCGACAGTAGTGAGCTCTCAACCTTGTCTCTAGACAGTTTGAACCAGCCCAGAAGGAAGCGCAGTATAAAAACTCAGGACAATACGGAGGCATTGATATATGAGTGCAGCGACGACGAGGATGATAGAAACATGCGTGAGTTAATCAAGAATCACATGGCGGCTAATGGATACTCTACTGAGTGCTTGGGTAATAACTGGGGCAGCGGACAGAGTTCACAGGCTGGGTCCCGGGAGATGTCACGCACGCCCTCTTTGAAAGTGACGGACGTGGATGCGGAAAACGTCATGAAGGCTACCAACCAGCCCGAGCATAGGAACGAGTCATTACATAAGCGTGTCCTTAACAAGCACATAGAGGATTTGCAAGTGCACGCAGACGTATGTGGTATTGCAGTGTTAGGTATAGATACTCGAGGAAGATCGAACTCAGCGGTCTTCATAGCCGGCGGTAAGGATATGTCCTCCATGCCTACGAGAAGGAGAGCTGATTCAGTGGGAGTAAAACGAAGGAATGCCAGTCACGCCGTAAGTTATAGTTTTGTTGTGAATAACGGTTAGATTATCCAACGCATAGACACATCTACACACATACACACACATAATCGTCTACATAGGCACACACACGCAAATGAATTATATATATATATACACACACACACACACACACACACACACACACACACACACACA